CACAAAAACACACAAAAACACACAAAGACACCCAAAAACACACAAACACACACAAAAACACACAAAAACACACAAACACACACAAAAACACACAAAAACACACAAATACACAACAACACACACACACACACACACACACACACACACCCACACACACACACACACACCCGCACACACACACACACACACACATGTGTGTCTATGTATACACTTACATATATCATACTGCATATATGTGTCGGAAGATGTGTATATGCACACTGAACGGAGATGGGTACTGTAGCCCTGTTTGCCCTGTTCCCAGGTGAACTACACCGGCGAGAGCCGGTCCCGGTGGGACATTGGCCTACCTTCCGCTCAGTGGCTCGGCCGGTTTAGGGTTTAGGGTTTAGGGTTTAGGGTTTAGGGTTTAGGGTTTAGGGTTTAGGGTTTAGGGGGCTGCGTGGTGAGAGGTCTCGGCAGGTTTGGGGTTTGGGGGTGAAGGGTTTAGGGTCAGTTACTTGCAGGATCCGGGCATTTAGCAAATTTGCGACATCAGAAAGTTTGCTTCAAGACTGGATCGCCCAGATTAGGATTCATGGTTTCGTTACCTGTGCAAGGTGCAGTGAGAAATTGTGGCTAATTATGGTTTAGTGTTATTGCAGTTTGTCGTCGGGGTTTCTTTTATTGTGGTCTTCTGCTAGGGTGTAGGGCCTAGTCGTGTTTGCCGTCTTGAGTTGACATATGAGTCAGGATTTGGTGCTCTGTTATTAACGTTAAATCACAAGGTTCAGTGGCCCTAGGAGCATGCCGGGTTACCCCATGCTTCCGGAGGATGCATTTTGCCTTCGAACTAACTTGGGTTTGTATCGGATGCCAATACAGCCTGGCCTTGGGGAGAAGTGCCAACAATTCAGGAAGGTGCACAGTTGTGGCACGCGTTTCTCGTGCATGATGTTGTTGAGGGCCAAACAGGGTCAGGTTTGATGCAAACCATTGGATTGTCTGGACTTTGTCCGCCGGTCGCTTGCATGATGTGTAGTGGCATGTGTGCCTTGCCCTTGATGCAGGTATCATGATGTGGGTTTGATGGTGCGTCGTATGTCTGTTACCGTGGCATATTTCGCCTCTGGTCAGGCAGGAGCTTGCTGAAGCTGTCGCTCTCACCGGCAAACCGCTAGTTGCCTGGCTGGGGTTGGGTGGCTTGGTGTTTTGCGAGGGCTTTGGGGGCGAAGCCGGAGGAGGGCGTTGGCGTCTAGGGTAATCAGGAACGAATAATAAGATCTTCTGACAGGTTTTATATAATTACCCCATAGTATACAGTAGGTTAGACAAGGACGCATGTCTTGAACGTTTTAATATCGACAGGGGTCCAGTTGGAATGTTGAAGTTCTCGGGGCCTAGACTTTGACCCCAATCGCAACATCTGGAGTTCCGAATGAGTTTGATGGCTTAGGGCTAGCTGTGGTCCTAGGACATCCTGAGGCCTGAAACCGCAAGCCACTCCTTGAAACCCCACTCCTGAACAAACCGGGTTTTGCGAGGTCGTCCTGCTGAAGAATGGGCGCGCGCTCCAGCTAGATGGGGCTGTGAAGGACGGAGGATCTTGCCACGATGAGTGCCGTGTTGTGTTTTAACATCATATAGAAACATATGTGTATGTATGTCTATGAAAAGCTACATACATATAGGTATGTAGATAGTGTGTTTGTGTCTGTGTGTGTTGGTAAACCCGCACCGTGTACATCTTCTGCACCCACACACACAGACAAATGAAACTTCATGCACTACCCCAAACTAGCATCAATGCAAAGCCAAGATCAAGCTTGAGTTTTGCGGTTTACACTTCTACGTGAACCCTTGCACTTTATTTTGACGGCATAGGGATAAGGGTGTTCCAATTTGTCGGCTCCTACTACACATAATCCTATCTTATCCTTTGAAAATCCAGCTCCCCCAAACAAAGTAGGCGCCAAGCCAGACTGTCGTACAAGCAGAGCTTTCGTGGCAACGTGGAAGGATGCAGCGAGCATCATGGTGACGTGGTGCCGCGGCCGAACTTAGCATGGCCCTACCACATCCAAGACAGAGCCGACAAGCCCATATCTACGCCAAGACGTGATTCCGAAGCTCGTACGTGTAAGGCAGTGTTGAGCGATCAGAGTCGGGTTTCAGGGTGTGTACATATATATCTATATATATATATAGATATACACACAGACACGCATGTATATGTATGTACGTGCATGCATGCACGCATGCATGCATGCACGTACGTAGGCAGGTAGGTAGGGAGGTAGGTAGGTAGGTAGGTAGGTAAGTAGGTAGGAAGGTAGGCAGGTAGGTATGTATGTATCACTATACACGCATGTACGTTGGTTCTTTCGAGTTTTTTGCTATAGTGGTCGTGAAGAGTCACAAAATGCCAACATATAGCTACCTTAAGTCTTCCATACTATTCTACAGGGCTTAAGCAAACCAGGCCTTTTTTTGCTCTTTTAGAGCTATACTCTCGTGCACCCCCCCGAATCCCTATTCCTCCGTTAAGGCCCCGATAGGTCTCGAGTGTGGGGCTTGAGGCTTGGACTTTGGCTGCCCCGACCCGTCGCTCTCGGATTTCCAGGGCTTTAAGGCTTTCTAGGGTTTAGGGTTTAGGGTTTAGGGTTTGGGTTTAGGGCTCAGGGGTTTGGATGTTCAGGGCTGTACGGGTTTTTGTTTTTTTTTGGGTTTGGGAGGGTGGTGGCTCAACGGCTGGATTCGCATTTTAGTGATTGCCAGGTATCTGATTGGGGCTTCTGTCAGAACCCTAACCTAAACCTCAAAGGCCTTAAACCCGAAACAACCGTAAACATTCAAAACACCCGGAACTCTGACATGCCTCGGCTGAAATTTATTCCATCGAAGCCTCTCGTTCGAAGCAATCCTCCGTACAATCTCGTTGGCAGCTTCCGAAGAATTTAGTGTTTTTTTTTCGATCCTCCAGGAGCACACAAACAAGTTAAACCTATTCGCCATGGTAAAGCGCTATAAGAGCAGTTTCCCGATGCTCCAAGAGGTTCCTGGGTAAGATGACCGGTGCTGCCATTGCCGACGTCCTTTTCGGCGAATCCTGGCCTTTCCAGATCCTGACAGCATACGTTGCAGATTCCCAACAACCAAGCAAGCTTCAAAGCAACCGTTCCGTTCCGTATCACTTCTTGTAAGAACCGTCAAAGTCTGGTCGAACCTCCTTGTGATCCCAGTGCCGGGCTTCTAAGGGTTGGGGCTGGCAGCTCTCTTGGTGCGCATGTGGTGCCACCCCCCTCCTGTGGTCGAAATCCCTAAACTCCAAACCCGTACCAAAAGCCCGGGTTTCCTCACCTTTGGAGAGCTTTGGCTTGATCACGTTCCCGACGGCAGAGCAATCTCCAGCCTAGTGTCTAAGGCCCAAGTAACCCAAACCCGTCGACACTTCGCGGCAGCAGTAGTCGTCCTTGTTGCGGTAGTAGTGCCAGCAATGGCGAACGGCTACGGGAAAGGGCTGATGATGTGGAGCCAGAACAGACAACCACAAAATAATGGCACCAGCCAGAACAAGAGTACGACCACAGTTAACCTTGCATCCCAGCTCTTGACTTCACCTGAGGACTACAGCCCCTCTGGCCGACTGCCGGTAAGCTCTTTGGCGCAGCTTAGATATGGTTTGCTGTCGGCCGTCGTCCCCGGGGTTTTCCATTGGTTCAGGGCTTTTCAAGACGACTGCCATGATGACGACTGCGACCAGCACTGGTAGTAGCCCCTCTACTGCCGTAAATCACCATCAGATGCCAGCCAAGCCTGAGGACTGCTGCCGAAGCTACTAGGACTGCTACTTCCGCGACGACAACCACCACTCTTTTTCTTTTCTATCTGCCTCCAGCTCTGCTATGGCAAGTAGAGCAAACTAGCGACGATACACCATAGTAGCCGTCGTAGTAGTAGCACTGGCAGTGGCAGCGCGGCAGCGGCAGCAGTAGCAACGGCAATGGCAATAGCCATAACAACGATACGAGTAGCAATGGCAGTAGGAGCCATAGCAGCAGTAGCAGCAGCAGAAGCAGTATAGTAGGAGTGCTAGGAGTAATAGCAGTAGCAGGAGCAGTACAACTAGCAAGAGCGCCACCATTTTCACACAATGCCCATTCACCGCATTCAGCACTCGGAGTTTTTCGACACACGAACAGCAACCACTACTGCAGATAGCAAGACGGGCAGCAGGAATATCAGATATGGTCTTTAACTACAAAAAGTAAGCGCTACGGATGTTTGCAGCTTTCAGAAGAAGCATGACCCGGGCATGCTCGGCAGTCATGTGGGGAACAGAAGTGATCTCGGCTTAGCTTCCGAACAGACTCTTGATGAGCATCACAGGCTTCCGCACAAGCACCTTGCTGCTGGCAGCTAAGAGGACTTTTTGTGAGGCAGGCCTGAAACCACAGTGGCCAATATCCTCGAACGATATTCCCGGACAAAAACGCAGCACCCATAACTCGTATAGGCTCCTCTTTCCTCACCCAAGCCCGAAGCACAAAGCCCTATGAAACCCAAGCCCAAGATCGCTGAGGTTTTCCGATCAGTGGCGGGCAGGCGCCGCACCTCGGCTACTGCGGGACAGCGGCCCAGAGCTCCCACACCGGACTAAATCAGGGCCTTTAACGTAGAATGCGAGACCCAATGCGAAGACCCTTTAAGGACCAGTGCGATCCCTAATTAGTTGAACAGCGCTCACGGCCTTAAGCCCACGTCAGCCCCATCAACCCTCGTCAAATTGGTGCTTTAAGCGAAGCCCAAAAGCCTTACCTTAGCGCCCCAAAAGCTCCTCGGGTCGCAACAGAAAGCCCCGGCACCCCCAAATGCCCGAATCCCCAGTCCTACAAGCAAGATGCCACCAAGAATCAGAGTCACCGACACTCCTCAAGCCCTGGAGCCCCAAAGTTTGAAACCAAGGTACCACTACAACCATCGAAGTACTGGGCGTCCCTGCGCTTGGCCCAAACACTTCACGAACTGCTGGGTGGCTCGAACTGCGCATGTTGCTTCGGAATTACGGCTTTAGAGCGAGCATAATTTCGATCTTGGAATCGGAAGCGGGTTAGGGTTCAGGGTTTGAGGCTTCCGCAATACGACGACGACAACGGCTACTACCACTACCGTTACCGCTACCGTTACCACTACCACTACCACTACCACTACCACTACCACTACCACTACCACTACCACGACCGCTACCACTACCACTACCACTACCACTACCACTACCACTACCACTACTACTTCTACTACTACTACTACTACTAC